GTACACAGGGTCGCTATGAGTCAGTACCGACTCCATGGCACCTAACAACAACAACAAACAATGTATTCACTGTACAAATAACCTCTGGGTTGTATGCTGAGTGAAAAGTTTCATAGTTGCTGACAACTAGAATCCAATTTAGGAAAACCCCTATGTGCAGAGTAGAACTGCTCCATAGGTTTTTCATATGTGACCTTTTGGAAGCAGATTGCTAGATCTGTCTTGCTAGGTTGGATCAAATGTTGATGGTTCTAACCAGCCAGAGGTGCCTAGCAAGATAAGTCCAGCAATGTGCTTCCAAAGGGTCGTAACTTGAAAATTCTATGGAGCAGTTCTTTACACACTTGGGGTCGTCCTGAGTTGGAATTCACTTGACAGCAACTAACAACAGCAATTATGATGCTTTCCAATCAGCATACAAACCTCAAGTTATTTGTCCCACCTTAAGACTGCCAACCATCAGAGAAGGGAGTAGAAGTCATGGGCAAATTCGAAAACAGACTGCCCTGGTTGGCCCCAGAATTTTCGCTGGGTTGGAAGGCAGAAGCCTTAAGAAGAGGTGGTGAGAACCATGGCAACAGGGACTGATACCATCCGCGGGCTGCTAGACGGATCACCTACCCTCCTCACCCCGGGTAGGCTGACTGACAGGCCGAGGCCCCGCCCCCTCCCGGCGGAGCCGCTAGGGGCCGCTGTGGCGGAAATTGCGGAGCCGCTACTCTCGTGGCATTCCTTCCTGTCCATTCTCATTCCTGCCTAAGATGGCGGCTGCGGCGCTCCTCCGCAGAACAGCCTCGTTTCACGGCGGCTCCGCCTGGGGCTTGCGACTGTGCTTGGCTCCGAGGCGCCGCCTCACGCACGATGCAGGCCGTCCTGACGGTGACAACGCCAACGGTTCAGCCTGGACTGGCTTCTTGCTTGGCGAACGCGCGGTGTTGCGCGTGCGCGGGTCGGACTCCGCGTCCTTCCTCTCGGGGTTGCTGACCAATGAGCTGCCGCTCCCGGGTCCCGGGTACGGGACGACCCCGCCCTCGTCGCGTGCGTGCTACGCCCACTTTCTCAACGTCCAGGGCCGGACGCTGTATGACGTAATCCTGTACCGGTGAGCGCTGTAGAGTCCTTTTGGGTCCAAGAGCATCGGGGTGCCTTTGGGTGGGTCCAGGAGCTACCTCTGCGGGCCGGGTAAGGCCTTTGTGCTTGGGTAGGGGCCTTCAGATCTGCCCTTCTTGCCGCTGCCCTATCCGAGTTCCCCTGTACTCACCATTTGGAAACGCTCAGACGCACTGCGTTGAGTACCCCTCGATTACCCTGGATTACCCTGGATTACACCTGATGACCCGAGGCTCCTACCCCTGCCATATCATTACTCAGTTTTTGTTTAAATTAGTGTTGTCATTATTATGAGTAGTTGGACTGCAGGGTCTGTTTGAACTGCAAAGTCGGTGGTTCAAACTCACCAGCTGCTCCTTGGAAACCCTATACTGGATCTCTATGGGTCTTATAGGGAACCCTATACTGGACTCATGGCCCTTAGCAACAAACAACAACAAATGTTCACTGAAGTCCCGGTGTGGCGCTGTAGGATAAGCACTGGACCGCAAGGTTGATTTGAACACAAGGTTGACGGTTTGAATCACAATGTTGGCAGTTCAGACCCACCACCCACTCCTCCGAAGCTCTACACAGGGTCGCTAAGAGTCAGAATCAACTCAATGGCATTTAACCAGAACAGCAAAAAATATAAACTACATGACCAGTTGTACAAAGTATTGAGTGGGGGAGGGATGCTGTGTTCTGTTCTTTTCCTCTCTCCCCTATTTTCTGTTGTCAATATAACCCCTAGCCTATCTTTGCTTCCAGGGAGCATTTTTCGTATATAGAAGTACTTAACCTATAGTGCCACATGTGAACTCTGTACT